TATATATATATACACACACACAGTGCAGTCTAAGAACCACTGGTCCCAGGTAATGCATTATCACGGAGACCAGTCTAGATCAGAACCATACCTGTTCAGTGAGAAATCCAAGCGCTGGGCCGTAGCATGTAGAAGCAGCCTTGGAGATCACTCTGCCTCGGGAGAAAGGGACAGTGATAAAGTAGTTAATGGTTGAAATTCAGCATCAGGATGGAAATGACAACGCTCTAAATTAGCAGTTCTCAACCTGTGGGTCGAGACCTTTTTGATGGGCAAATGCCCTCTCACAGGGGTGGCAGATCAGATATCCTGCAGGTCAAATATTTACATTATGATTCATAGGAGTAGCAAAATTACAGTTATGAAGTAGCAACAAACTAATCTTATGGTTGGGAGTCACCACAGCATGAGGAACTATATTAAAGGGCCGTAGCATTAGGGAGATTGAGAACTGCTCTAAATACTGCTGGGTCTGCTGTGGGGTCCTAGTGTCTTCCTAATTCTTCCAATTAAACTTTCAACTACACACACATGGGCACAAAATAACTGATTTTAAAGCAAGCCAGTAGAAGAAGAACATTTTCCTTTTCAAAATACTTCTATTGCTTTTTAGCTCAAATATAATTATTTTGAAAATTGCAAATATCTCTACATTTAGTTTATGGGACGTGCCTAAGATTAAAGGGAAGGGAAAAAAATCTTTAGGATGAGTAAAGATGTGTCTGCTGGTTTTACATCACTGTGTAATTCCTTTGCTCTGAAAAACGCTAGTTTCTTTTCCATATGACTCACCAGCAAATGTCTCATCGTTAGATGTGGGCCCTGTGCTGTGTAGATCCAGATATCGAATAACCATGGCTTATACTCTAATCCGAGAATGTCTGTCACAAAGAGCCAAACAAGGAGAACACTCTCTCTTTCATCATCAGAAAAACTGCATTAAGCTTAGCAGCATTAATCGCATTAAAATACTTTTTAGTGATATCCCCAGGGCCTCCATGGCTAAGACAAGCTACAACAAACACCGTTAGCGTTAGTTAAACTTGGTTCATGCAAAGATTTAGAATCTGTTCCTAAAAGGGGCCATATACTAAATTTCATTCATTCCCTTTTGTCCCTCCTTGTTCCTTTCTCCTATGTCTGGATAATGCCTTTTAAGCTCTTTATCAAATACGTAAGCAGTAAATATCAGCTTCCAGAGAGAAATGGAACTATCTGAACCCCCAAAACTGTATTATTCAAGGCTGATTGGGGTCCAGCACTGAGACTGTAGGATTCTTTCCTTTGCCTTTCTTTTCTTTTGTTGGCTTACTTTCAGTGTCTCTCCATGTCCTCCAACAAACAGGGCCAGTGTAAAAGTAGATGTGGAAGTATGGCCAGAGTCAAGATTTGCTTTCATGGTACTGTGAAAGAAAATGAAGGCCCCGTTGTAAACAGTCTCTTATTGAATCATATCTATTCTGGTCTTGCTGTCTTTTCTTTACAAAATAGGTTTTGCTTTTGCTCCCAAATGGAAGATAACTAATAACTTCTTGTTCTCTAAGCCTTTGGCCTTATACAGTGATGATGCTCAGCCCCATACAAAGTTCACCTGGCAAGAAACTGTACAGCTTCTGGCATGGACCAGAGTCAGGAGCGTGTGTTTGCTGAGACAGTTCTCACAACATGTGGTCTTAAGTGTACTCCATATCCCTAAATGTCTCAATATGTGTTGCAATGACCTAGGCTGATATAAAAAAAAAAGTATTTTATATTACTTTCTACCCTATAATATAAACATAGGAAAAGGAGTTGTTAGCTTAATGAAATAATTACCATTACAGAACTGTCTCAGCCTCAGGGATAAAAGGAAAGCTTAATTGGGTGAACAAAATACAAATATTGAAAGAATATCTAATTGTTTTCAATACACTGTATGCCCTCCCCCCCCCCCCCCCCCCCCGCACTCTCTCCAATGAGCATACACTCTGACAATCCTGGCTTTAGGAGGCAGCCACTTAATGACAATCAGTTTAAATTCATATCACAATCATTGCCCTAAAAAGGCCATACCATCTCGTTTATATCATTATAATCCTTGCTAAAGAAAGGAAAGTATATTTTAATAATATTTCTTCTGTTGTAATTTTATACTTAATTTTCTTGTTCCTAATTAAAAAAAAAAACACTTTCAAGAGTATTCTAAAAGTCAGGCCTAATGGTAAGACTATATAATCTCAGCACTCAGGAGGATGCAGCAGGAGAATCATAAGACCTAGGTTAGCCTGTGCTACATAGCAAATGCTTATAAGAAAAATTAGAAGCAACAACCCCCTCCCCCAAAAAATCACTGTAAGGTGAATCAGCAGATTCTCTTCATAGACAGAGGATTTGCTTCGTTGTAATGCAGTTACTCCTCACTACTCTGCGTGCCTTGTCCACGCCTGGAAGTATTTTTGAAGACATCTTAAGAAGCAATCCATACCTGTTTAGTGATACTGGAAGCCTATGATCCTTTTCTACTATTTTTAGAGAGAAAAAAAAAACAAAGATGGGGAGAGCACGTGAGCACATATTTGTGATAAATCTTCTACATGTCAAACACAGAGCTGGCAGGTGTTCACACTTGCCCTTCCCTGTGCTGTGATCACCAGTAGTTGACATGGGACTAAAGCAAAACCCAGGGATGTAACTTGGCTATAGACCTGAAGGGAAAACAATCATACTTGAACCTTGTTCTGTGCCAATCCAAAGTGTATTATCTTTACAAGCTTCATAAGATATCAACCATGGCATATTGATTAATAAGTTGATTATAATTCTTAACTTTAATAATAACTAAAATTTCAAAGCATTGCCATCTGCATCACCCCATTTTAAGGCAAAGAACAGAACAGTGGACTTGTCTGGGTTGCTGTGAAGGTTAGTAATACTGTATATGAAGTATGTCTATTGTAAACATGGACTCAATAGCTATTGTTATTATTGTTGGTTCTTCCAGCATGTTTACAAGTTACATAGTACAGCTGTCATGATTCCTTTTTGACAGGATTTGTCTATGAAGACTAACTCCAAGGAAAAATCAGTTTACAATTCTATTTACGAGGCAATCTCAGGAATTTCACACACAGCCTCCCCCATTCCACTCCAGCTTATTCAAGAGAGGGTGGGCAGAGGGTATAAAAAAAGTCAGGGCAGGAAGGCTTAGGGTCTTTCCCGACAGAGTCAAAATGTGGATCTCACCTCCTATCTGCAAGAAATTCTTTCCACTACAACAAAGTGACATGTAAGTTTGTGCTTTCTCTTGGGTTTTGCTATCTGATTCTTAGAGTAGAAAAGCGGTGTCCTGCTTTGGATCTGTTGCTAGCCGGGCTAAGGAGCACGCACCAAAGAGCTGGGATCCCCCTTGCTTGCAGCTGGGAAAGCAGTTATCACCACACACACATTTAACTTCTACAGCCACATTCCTGCTCTCCCGATAGCGCGCTACAAAGTGCCAGAAACCAGCTCTGTATCAGTGACTCACAGTGGCAGGAAATCTCAAGCAGGTCCGCCCTTCCTTCCTCTCTCACAAAGAGCTGAGTCGCAGAACCACAGGCCACAGCTAGCCTTGAGTCTTGGTGAAAGGAGCTGAGACCAGAGACTCTTGCATGGGACTGAGATGTTCCCTTTATTGTGGAGAACATGTTCTCTATTGAGATCTCTTCCAACACACAGTGGCATATTCTGGACTTGGTTCTGATTTGAAAAATGAAAACAGTGGATTGAGGCATGGGGGAGGGGGGGAGTGCAGATGTGCCAGTAGAGCCCAGTAGCATAGCAAGACCAGAAAGGAAGGAAGGAAGGAAGGAAGGAAGGAAGGAAGGAAGGAAGGAAGGAAGGAAGGAAGGAAGGAAGGAAGGACATATCAAGAAATGGGAAAAGGAATTTGCCTATACAAAAGATTTTTAATGTGATATAAAATTTCCTCATTAAAGTTACATGATTTTTTTCCCTCTTGCTTTGAGTAGGAGATGATGATGGAGATGATGCCAATGATGTTGACTGTGAGGATAAATTCTAACAGCTGTTTGTTAGTGCAAAGACTGCTCTCGACACTTAACACATGTCAAAGTCATTTGAATCTTACAAAAACTCACTGACACATATATCACTGTTTCCGTTTTAGGGGAAAGAGGCTATCAACGTGAACACCTCTTCAATGCCCTTGAGAATTGTTTTTAACATGTAGAAATAATAAATAAAACCCAAACAATATATATTACATACACATACATGTATCGTAAGTGTAGCCACTGCTTGTGGTGATTTGTTGTGTCAAATGAATATTGCCACAAATGATCGTCTGCATGTTTTCCACACCTGTTCAGGTCACGTGAAATATTTTGAATTCACTCAGAAAAAACAAGATTGCAAATGCAAAAGTCAAAACTTAGTTATACCAGATTAGCTATATCAGTATCTTTTTTTTTTGTTGTTGTTGTTGTTTTGTTTTTCGAGACAGGGTTTCTCTGTAGCTTTGGAGCCTGCCCTGGCACTAGCTTTTGTAGACCAAGCAAACCCATTTTCTCCTCTAATCTAGCAAATGTGTGCCTGCTAATGCTCTAAAATATTTTTATTTATCTTTCCATGGACTATGGACTATATTATATGGTGATGTGCTTTAGACTAGGCCTAGGAGTGAGGAAGAAGAGGATCACTGTTACAATGGAGCTGGAAGGGAAGGAGGGAGGGCAAGACGAAGGGAAGAAGGAAATGATGGAGGACAGATAGCTAGAAGATATCAGTCATGGTTGGCTGATTGTTTACATGGTATCCAATGACTAGGTGCTGACTTACTCAAGTGTGGTGGCTTCAACCATCTTAGCTGAATTCTGACTGACAAGAAGGGTCCAATAATACAGAACAGGAGAATAGCATCAGGGAGCATTTGTCAAATTTGTCAAAGGTGCTAAGCTGAAAGAACAAGCCAGGTTCTCTCAAAAGAGAAGGAGTTAGAATAACCCAGGTAGTCAAAACCCAAGTGCCTTTGTCTATAAAACCAATATGAGGTTTACATTGAAAACACAAAGCCAAGTTTTTATATGGAGCAAGAGTGGATCTGGGGGAGACAGGGGGAGTGGGGGAGGGGAACAGGATGTATTGTATGAGAGAAGAATCTATTTTCAATAAA